TTGATATATTTAAATCTAGGACTATCAACCCTTTTTTGTCTTCTTTTTGGATTATTTGAATTTTTTGGTGTATTTAATTTAATTCAAATTAGTCTATTTGTTTGTTTGTTTGTTTTTGTTACCAAGAATTAAACTCAGGACTTTGCACTTGCAAGGAAGGTGCAGCACCACTGAGCTAATCCCTGGCCCTGGTGTATTTAATTTTAATTGATGTTTAGAGTTTTAAACATATTTCTGTGAATGTATTTATTTTATTGATTGCTGCAGGAATTGTGTATAACTTTTCACAGTCTGAGAATTTATATTTTGCCATTTCAAGTAGATATAGATCTCTTATCACCTTTTAAATCCCACCTCACTTTATGTTTGGTGACATTTGCATTATATCCATATACATTGAAAACCCTTACATAACAAACAAGAGAAGACAGTATAATGTATATATAGATAGATATTTACCATTTCTGTCGTTCTTTCATTATTCCTTAAGTACCAGGTTTCCCTCTGCTCTTATTTCTTCTCCCTCTGAAGAATAAAATATTTTACAGCAGGTCTCTGAGTGATGAATTCACTAAGTTTTCCTCATTTTAGAATCTTTGATTTTCATTCCTCCAGTATATTTTTATTTAAATAAAGAATTCTGAGTTGAAGTTCTTTCATTACAAACTGGCTACTTCAAAGTTTTAGTGTTGCCAACCCTCCCCCTTCTTTAGTTTTTATCAGTTTGATTTTTTTTTCTTTTGTGTTTTTAATTTAGTTTATCCTGGTCTGGGTTTGCTACATATCCTGAATCTATAATGAAGTTGGTGAGACAAATGATGTAAATGAGAAGAAATGGAGTCCAAGAAGGAACTTCTAAGATGACTATTTTAGTGATAGGCACAATAATGATAAAATGAGCTCAATAAAAAAATTGCCAAGAATATATAAAAATAATTGGAAAAAAGTTAGAAATACCTATGTGTGATCTTAGGCAAATTATTTAACATCTCCAAATCTTAATATTTTCATTTGTAAAGTTGAGATGATAATAACAGCAACTAATTTTGTTATGAAAATTACTATAAATAAATGTGTGTGTGTGTGTGTGTGTGTGTGTGTGTGTGTGTGTGTGTATAATATCACCGATTTTAGGGCCTACAACAAATACTCAATAAATAATTTTGTAATTTATTACATTGGTTATTAAAATCAATAACTATAATCTCTCATCTGGGTAAATTTGAACTATACTTCTTTTGCTGGTTTATATTAGCTTACCTTACTGAAAAATATCATTTTATTAAAGTTAAAGGGTAAATTCAAGTGTTAAGCTAGAAAATGAATTGAAATTTTTGAGAGGTAGCTAGGACTTCAAAATTATCCAGTTTCCTTTTACTGAAAATCTATACAGACCTCGAAAGAAAACATTTGTTCCATTTGCCCTTTTGTTCTTTGACAAAATGAATTTCATAAAATCAATTGCTATTGCCTTTGAAGCAAATTTTCCTTTTAAATGTTTACACTGAGGCTTACTTAAACTGCTACTGTTCTTTTAAGAATTTCTATACTTTTACATTTTTTTCCAATGGAACTTGAGGTAACTGCTGTAATTTAAAAATTGTTAGACTTATCAGAAAACAATCATTCAGTCTTTCCCAGCCTCAGCTTCCTCATTAACAAAAAAGGAAGTAATATTTAACTGCACACTATGACTGTTAACTAACTTTAAAGTAAAAGCCTAAAGATCATAGGAAGCAGCTTAGAAAAAATAATATAGACCCATTGTTTCTAAGGTGGAATCAAAGCTTTTGGGTGAAGAAGTGAAAGGTGAACTATGTCACTGCAAGTCACCTGAGTAGCATTTTCAAACTACACACACTGATTTTTTATTTTATTCTTTATGTTCTCCTCTAATCTGAATAATTGGGACTGATAGAGTAGTAGTGAGTGACCTTGTATTATGCCATCCTTCCACTTTACGCGAACATTACTTCTAACCATGTAAAGAACTGATCTAAACTGGGTGTGATGACACACACCTATAATCCCAGTACTCAGAAGGATCACAAGTTCTAGGCCAGCCTGGCCAATTTAATGAGAATCTGTCTCACAATTCAAAAATCACTGGAAATGTAGCTCAGTGGTTGAGTGCTTGCCTAACATGTGTAAGGCCTTGGTTTTGGTGGTACAGTACCACTAAAAAAAAAAGAAAAAGAAAAAACATAAAACAAAACTGACCTAATTCAACCATCCACCTCATTTGGCAGATCAAGAGCTCAAAATCTTAAAGTGAAATAATAATTCCTTCTAACTTAAAATTATGAAACTCTTGCCTTACTTTAGGTCAGTATTTGCTTATACATAGCTAGAATGCTCAATAAATATTCAACTTGTCCTTCTGTTGGCTCCCTCTGATTTTAAAATGCACACGGTAAAACATTTCCTAAATTATGATGAATAGCATAAGAGGGAAAGCATAAAGCTTTTTCATTTTTTCATCCCCCAAGTTCATGTCACAGAAGCAATGATTTTTTGTTTGTTTTTCCAGTACTGGGGATCAAATTCGGGACCTTGTGCTTGTGGAGCAGGCATGATGCCACTGAGCTAAATCCCCAGCCCCAGAAGCAATAATTTTTAAACTTTTAACATTTCTATATCTCCTAGGTACTGTGTTAACCCAAAAATTTAAAATTATGCTATTCACAGCTGGACACAGTGGTGCAAGCCTGTAATCTCAGCATTGAGAAAGGCTGAGGCAGGAGAATTGCAAATTTGAGTCTCTCCTGGGGAGCTCAGTGAGATCCTTTCTCAAAATAAAAATAAAAAGGAATGGGGAGGTAGCTCAGTGGTAGAGCATCTGAGTTTGATCCCAATATGTTCTGCCAATAAATAAATAAAGTCTATGCTATTTAGTGTAATAGCTTAAAGCCACATGTGGCTGTTGATACTCGAAATGTGACAAGTCTAAGTTGTAAACGTGTCATAATTATAAAATACACTCTACATTTTGAAAATACAAAGAATATAAAGTTTCTAATTTATATTTTATCTTGATTACTATTTGATATGAAGGGATTTTTTTTTTTTTTTAGTTTTAGTTTTTTTAGTTTTTTGAGGCAGGGTCTCCCTTTGTGGTTCAGGATGGCCCTGAACTCACTGTGTACCTGAGCCAGGCTTCAAACTTGTGGCAATCCTCCTGACTCAGCCTCCTGAGTGCTGGGATTATAGGTGTGGGCTATAATGAAGCTATTTTAGATACATTCAGTAAATATATTATTAAAATTAATCTGTTTCTTTTTATCTTTTTAAAGGTAGCTGTTAGAAACATTTCAGTTACACATGACTTGTATTTGTTATTCATCTTTGTCTCTGTTGGGCAGTGCTACTTGTTAGAAAGCATATATACTGTATATGTACTAAACCTCTTGAATTCTGTTTTTCTATCATTTTCTCTCATATTTTTTATTTTTCCATTCTGATGTCTTTTTGTCAGTGGTCTTGGAAGGTTGCCTTATGGTGAAAAATGGAGTAGATAATCAAAGTCTTAAATATCTATGACTCTCATTCTCTGTTTTATCATAGAAATTTATTCTTTTTAACTGATATCTTTACAAAGTTTCAAATTAAAATTGTTTCTAAAATTTTCTTCAAGCACCGGGCGTGGTGGCGCACACCTGTAATCCCAGCACTCAGGAGGCTGAAGCAGGAGGATCACTGTGAGTTCGAGACCAGCCTGGGCTACATAGTGAGTTCCAGGTCAGTCTCAACTACATAGTGAGACCCTGTCTCAAAAAACCAAAAAATAAAAATAAATGAAATAAAATTCTCTTCAGTTTCCTGAATCGTATGTTTTATTTTACACTCCATGGTTCAGTTTGTTCAGGATGGGATTCTAGAAGACAAAACACCTTTCAGATAAGGAGAATGTGTAACAAGACTTGTAGAAGTAGAATGCAAATAGCTTCTTCTGGGAGCAGAGATAATCTGATTATGATCATACTATAGGCACTGTACTTATGCCTGAGCTCACATGAATAAGGTCAGAACTGAAAGAAAAGGGCTGAGTAATTATGCACAAATGAATAATGAGTAATTATTTTTGGGAACTGATGTTTCAACTTTCAAAATTCCTACAGCACCCTCTTATTGTCTGCTCCCTTATAATGTTAATTATTATATTCATACATATTTGTAACAGAATTGTGATTGTTCAAGACAGGAACTGTCTGCTATTCATTCTTTTGCATATATTTATTAATCAAGCACTTTATCTCCACTGCTGGAGATAAAGCAGTGTGCAAAGACAAAAAAAATCCCTTCCCTTAAGGGCATTTAATGTATTTATTTATATCTTTCAAAAAGTTCAGAATTCAAAATTAGATATACCAGAATAAAGGTAGGCTGGGTGCTGTGGCACACACTTGTAATCCCAGCTACTTGGAAAGCTGAGGCAGATGGATCACAAGTTTGAGAACATCTTGAGCAATTTAGCAAGACCCCATCTCAAAAAGAAATAAAAAGGTCTGACAATGTAGTTCAGTGGTAGAGCACCCCTGGGTTCAAGTGATTAAGAGGAGGATCGTAGTAAGATTGGCAATTTTGGGGTTTGTTTCAAAAGTTCTTTTGGTATTTAACTCTTTTCTTTAACTTAATTTAAAAATTTTTCATGCATTCAGATTAAATTAATATCCATTCCCTTAATTAGAGGTGATTTAATAGAAAGAGTACCACCTTGGGAGAGTCTAAAGGTCTAGTTTGGCCCTAGCGTTTAATAGGCCTGCACATAAGACTGTTATCCCTACAGAGCCTTACTTTGCTAATACATAAAGTAAAAGGGCTGGTATTTTTTTAGCACTGACACTTGGAGCCTGTAAGTGGGGCAAAATATTCATTTGTGTGGATTTTGAATACATGTTGACATTTACTTGAATGATTGGAAATAAAATTAAGAGCTGTCATTTTATATATTTCATTTGAGTTATTAGTAAGTAAATAAATTGTTTTGTTTTGTTTTACAGATTTGGGCCTTGATCAGTATATTATAAAACGCTTTGATGGAAAGGTGAGCAAAGTGTGACACTTACATATATATATCCTGTTTTCTAAGAAGATTTTCAGGTTCTTCTAGCCTTATGTATCAGTATATTATAAAACGCTTTGATGGAAAGGTGAGCAAAGTGTGACACTTACATATATATATATCCTGTTTTCTAAGAAGATTTTCAGGTTCTTCTAGCCTTATATATGAGAGATCCTAGAACACTTATCTCTCTTGTCAAAAAAGTGTGCATAGATTAGAAGATCTGTGCCTTCACATGTTCCTATAGATAGAATCAAGCAGGAGTTTCTTTTATATTTTTTCCATATGAGGTGACTTTCATGGGTTACCTGTTCTATATTTAAGGTTAATTCTGTGTTGTTGACTTTTGCGTGTTAACTCAATAGTTATCATAAACGTTAACTCCCATAATATTAATTTGCCTTTCTTATAAGACATCTGATTTGACCTTCCTTAAACTTTCTGAAAGCATACAGCAGTTATCCTAATTAATTACGAAGGTTCTTATAGTGCTTTTGCATCCATTATGAAAAATACTCCAAATTTACATATATTTGCATTATTCTTACTTTTGATTCTTTATTTTATACCTGAATAAATTATGTAATGAATCATTTGTAGATGTAAAAAAATGAAACTTTCAATTTTATTATCTCACGAAGCCAAATGTGTTTTTCCTGTTCAGACTAAATTCTTCAAAATGAAAAAGAAAACCTTACACAGGGTCAGAAAGAAAAGTAAAGTGTCAGTTTTACAAAGAAGGAGGAAAAAAGTACATCAGGAGGAAGGAAGAGTCAGGCCTGGCTCTACAGAGGATAAAGGGAAAGAAATCAAAAGGAAATCATGGAGTGGCTGGAAAAGGCAGGATCATAAAAGAGGATTTTTTTGAGTACTGAAAGAGAAAATAGGTGATTCTTCTTACAAAGGGTAGAATTGAGCCAGTGACCCTTAGCAATAACTAAACAATCCAGAGTTCTCCTTCATTCACCTTTTGTTTGTTTGTCCTAACCCTAACCCTAACTCTAACCTTGTGCTTGCTGTGGCACTACTGAGCTAAATCCCCGGCCCTCATTCACCTTTTGATATGTACATTATCTCTCTTTTCCAAGTTTTTCACTGAAATTTTGTATTAATTTCCGTAAAATACATTTTTTAAGAGAGAGAAGGTTTATTTTGGCTCACTGTGAAGTATGTATCTGAGTGTTGTTTTAAGGAGGAGGTTAGGAAAAAATAAAAATAAAAAATAAAGAGAAGGTTACGCTTCTTAAATAAGATTTTTTTTGTCTGTTTTTGTTTTTTGAGACAGGGTCTCACTATGCAGTTGAGACTGTCCTGGAACTCACTATGTAGTCCAGGCTGGTCTCGAACTCACAGTGATCCTCCTGCCTCAGCCTCCTGAGTGCTGGGATTACAGGCAGGCTCTATCAAGCCCAGCTTAAATCATATTTTTATACTGAGCCTACTTCTGGTTTGTCTTTATGAGTAACCTTTGTTTCATATATAATTTAAGAATGTTTCTATTATATTTTAAAATGCTAAATGATGAGTTGTGTGAAACTCATTAATATTTGATTAGTTTAAAAGTTTTTCCAGGGATTTTGTGTCATATATGATGTCCTTCACTTGAGTTATGATAAGGTTCATTACTTACTCAACTGTTTTTATTATTTTTCTTGTGTCTTAATGACTTTTGTTTCTTGGTTAGAAAATCTTAATTCTTAAATAGCACCTTCTAGAGTATGTAAGTTTTACAGTTTCCTGCTGAAAAGTTAGATATCTATGGTTAATTAAAGTAAACATCATGCATTATCACCAGAACTATAGTTGAAAACTAAACATCCTGGAAGAATTTCCTTCTAGATTTGCTTTGAATTTACAGTGTGCTCCCGCCTCTTTCTTGCTCTTTCTCTCACAAAATAACTAGCTATGACATGCTTAGAGAAAGGACAGCTTACTTCCATCATTTGCCTCCCTTATTTAGGCTGCCATATTTTAATTTTAAATATAACATTTTTTAAAACTGTTATTTCACCTGTAACAACCATTAGTTTTTCATATTGACTTCTAATTGAATCATATTTTAACCTTTAAGTAATTGAAAGCAATAACAAATGTAAAATACAAATAACATTGTCCTGGATGCTTTTCATTTATCTCCAGATGCCAAGTGGAAAAGAATGGCCAAACTATATCGACAAATAATTGGGTAGTTATTTCTTGTTTTGCTATCTTTTGCCCTGTTCTGTTCAAGTAACTAGAAAATTTCTTGGAAGTAATAGGCAGAATGTCCCTATTTGAGCGGATAGTGAAACTGAGTTTGATTAAGCAGCTTTTGAATTTGGGTAGGAATCTTTTTCCACAGCCTGTTTCTGCCTTATGTTAATAAATTCTTTAAGGATTTTTGTAGAAAAGTTATAAACTATATTACTACCAGAAACTGCATCATCTATTGGGTTTCAAACTTTCTACTAAAACAGGTCCTATATAAAAAATGGTAGCAAAAAATGAGAACCAAGACCTGTCATGTAGAGGTACAAGATCCCAACAATGAATGTAACTGTACTGTATCCCTAAAATGTACCAATAAACTCAATTTAAAAAAAAAAAAAAAAAAAGAATGGCAGCAGCCTGTAATTTCAGCTGTTTAGGAGGCCAAGGAAGGAAGATCATGAGTTCAAGTCCAGCTTGGGCAATTTAGCAAGACCTGGTCTCAAAGTAAAATTTGAAAAAAGATCTGGAGATGTAGTTCAGTGTGCTTGCCTAGCATGCTTGAGGCCCTGGGTTTGAGCCCTACTAACCACCCTCCCACCTCACCCTCCATTGTGACAGCTACAGATGCAGGTTTTATGAATGTATTTTGTAGGTAAGTGATATTTTTTAAGATATTCAGACTAGGTTTAAAAGTTTTTAAAACTTCAAAGCTGGAAAGAATTCTGATTTTTTCTTATGAAAATTATTAATATCTTGCTAGCACTGTTATTAAGATAATAATACAAAAATATAAGGGGTGATCAAAAAACAGTGAATGTTTATATTTGAAAGATTTTTACAGTGAATGACACATTGCCATTAATCCCTCTAAAAGTATAGTACTCGCCCTAAGTTTGAATACATTTATCCAGTCATTCTTGTCACTTTCTGAAGCAGTTCTAGAAGTCCTGTTTAATGTCCTTACAAGGTCTGACCAAACTGAATGCTGCTGCCAAGTGCCATCCAACGGAAAGGCTGCTCGTAAAAACGTTATAGTGCATCCTCATCCACTTTATTCACCAGATTTGGCACCATGCAACTTCTGGCTCTTTCCCAAAGTGAAATGACATTGAGAAGTAAACGTTTTGAGTTGTTGCAGGACGTTGAGGCAGTCACAACAGCACAACTAAAGGCTCACAGAAAAGAACTTTCAGAACTGCTTTAGAAAGTGGCAAGAATGATAGAAGTGTGTTTGAGGTGAGGGGGATTGTTGAGTTTTTTATATATTTATTTCAATTTCAGAATAACTCTTGATCTTTCATGTTCTTTTTGGTAAAAGCTGTCAAAGTTCATTTTTTTCCATTTGGAAAACCAGAATAAGCTAGAAACCTATAATAAACATAAAACCACATAACATTTTCATTTTAAAGAAGGGAAATGAGTCTTACATATTTTAATACCTATACTTAGAAATCAGAATGTCAATTTCACTGTTTTCTGTTCCATTATTTTCTCATGTACCATGAGTTACCAAATAGTATTTTGAAAAGTGCCCTGTTCTTTTTTATTAAAGCATCACTCTTAAAGTGATCAGTGTTATCTATATTTGAGAAATCAAATCTTTGCTGATTGTAGCCAAGCTAATAGAGAAAATAATGTTTCTATTAAAAGCTAAACATATTGACCTTTTAAAATACTGATTGGCTGTGTGTTAAATGTAGCATCATTTGAACAGAGAGCCTTTAGATGAGCAGATATTTAGAATGTAATTGCATGACTGGTGAACTGAGGTGCTAAGTCAACACTGAGGAAGTCCTTTGGGCTAACAGGGTAGAGCTCAATGGTAGAGCACATGCTTAACATAGGGAGGGCCCTGAGTTCAATCCCCAGCATCCAAAAAAAATTAGTCCTTTGACACCTTCTAAAATTTTGTTTTATTTTTAGTCAAAGAATTTACCATCCTCTTTTACACCCAAAGTTCTTTAAATTATTTCAAAACGTTTTCTCAGTTTTCTCTCTTCTTACAAATTAGCAACTTTTCCCACACAATAGCCCTAAAAAATATCTTGCTTTGCTCTCTGGAATATTCTCCAAGGCATTTCTATTTTAGCATCTCAGTATTTGACAGCCGTGTGTAAATGATTAGTAGATGTTATGAAGCATGCTGAACCGGGCATGAAAAAATACAACCTTGTGGACTGCTGTACATATGTGTAATAGAATAGGATGAAGAAAGTGTGGAGTATAGAGATAATTGTATATTCACCCAACTGTGGACTCTGCTGTGTAGTTGAGTAACCTTGGGCAAGACACTGGTTAACGTCTGAGTGCCAGGTCCCTTGTCAGTAAAATTGGACAGTGTGTAGTGTCTGATTCTACAAATTATAGGTATTTTGCATGGCTTTGAGCCCTTTACTCAATTTATAGAATAACTTACTTGCTATCATTTATGTAATCTTTCTTGCTTTATATGAAACATTACAGAACAGCAGCATATCCTGTGAATAATTGTTCTCTTCATGGTTTTTTCTTCCCAGTCGAGTCAGCTATAAAAATCTCATAGTGCTGTCTCTGTAATAAGAAATTTGCTTGGGCTAAAAAAAACTAGAAAGTTAACCAAAGAGAGACCTCTGGTTTGAGTTGTTATATCTGAGCTGTCCTGTGTTCATAACAGTTCATCTCACTCCTGTGCTATAAAATCCTTCTGGCCTCTATCATGTCAGTCCCAGTAGCACATTTATAAATTACTAATAGCATCTCTTTTTTCAGCCTAGCACTTTTATAGTGCTCGTAAGTTTGGTTTGAAAATGATAGTAAGTTTACATCAAATTTTATTTCAGTCAGTAAAATTTGTTTAATGAAAACAATCTTTAAAACCGTTTGATTCTTAAACTTGAGTCATTTGAAGGAAAATGGATATACTTTGAGACCATAATGCTAAGTGAAATACATCAGACACAAACTTAAATATTGCGTGGTTTCTCTTACAGAAAAGAAACCCAAAATATAAATAAAAAGCAAACTAAAAGATAGATACTAGGAAATAGGGAACTAGATCTTTTGCAAAAGAGAAAGGCACTATGAGATGGAGAGAGGGAGGGGAAAAGGAGAGAGGAAAGGAATGAAGAAAGAATAAAATCTGATGTGTTTTGTACATGTACCAACTCCCCGCTAAGAATGTAGCCATTATGTACTGCAAACATTTCATTAAAAAAGAAAAATATTTTTAAAGTTTAAAAATAAATAAAAACTATGTGATCATCGAAGATATTTTGGAGTGGTTAGCCAACTAAATTAAATAACTTAAACAGCTTCAAGTGCCAGCCTCGATGAAAGCATTTATCTGTATGGATAATCCTTTACTTCATGCAGCATAATTTTGGAGGATACCTGTTTCTAAATAGCCATTTTGAATCCTTCCTTTGAGTAAACAATAATCCTCTGAACTCATCCATATTTGTTTGCTCATTTGTAGGTGGCAAAGCAACCACTTTGCCAGGAAGTTAAAAAAAATATATGCATGAAATGTGAAACATTCTGAGAGTGAACGTTAATTTAAAAATGCTTTGACTGTCAAGAAGAAAAAAGAAATGTGTGCTTTCTTTTTCTTTAAGAAACATAATTATTCATGTATTTTCTTTTTATAGAAATATGCAGATCTTATACAGCCATGTGTTTCATTTTGGTGAGGTTGGGAATTGCATTGCTCAACTGACCCTTTTATTGTATCTAACAGATAATATCAAAACATTTCTGTGTATTCCTCATTTTTTATTTCCAGGTGCTCAGTGATATTTTTATAGATTTTAATTGCTCCTTATATGTTATATTTTGTGATATGTATATTTGATTTGTCGATTTTGTTCATATAATCAATGACAATTTTTTTCTTTTTCTTATCTTCTGATCAGGATTTTTGGCAGGTACTGACTTAGCAGCATGTGCCTTAAAATAATTAATGCTCCAGAATCCATAGTAACGCTTCAGAGACCAAAGTTCAGTGCATGCTCATGTCCTTTCCCTGCTCCCTTCAGAATGTTCAGTTCCTGTCACTTTAAATTAACATACTTTATCTTTAATACGACAATTCAAACAATGCACAAGTCCTTGAGAATGTAGTACCCAGCATAACTGAAAAGGAAGTTTTAACACATGCTGTTACACAAGAGGTCAAGAAGCTTACTTTTAATCACTACGTCATATAGGAATTAATTGGGTCATTTAAGTAGTTTTATTTGAGATGTTATAGTCTTACTTAAACTGTACTAATGGGAATGGAAGACAACAGTGACTTCATGTTAAAAATAGGTATTTTTACTTTGAAATTTCTTGCTTTTGGGGAAATTACTGGGCTTTTTGTCTGAGCTACATCGTCAGCCCTATTTATTTATTTATGAATGAGACAGGTTCTCACTAAATCAGTAAGTTGCCCACGCTGGGCACAAATGCAAATCTTTCTGCCCCAACCTCCCAGAATTATAGGTTTTTATAGTCTAGAATTGTAGGTTCATGCAGCCATACCTTGCTTTGAAATTTATTATGTAATAAATATAGATAAGCAGTTGCTTAGTTGCACTTTGCTCACTAACATGGCTTAAGAGGAAACAGGTGAACCATTTAGAAAGACTTCATTATTTTGCTCTTTTGAGCTAATCAATAACTTTAACTTGGAAAAGCAAGCAGATACACAGAAAAACCCATGGAAGGAATGTATAGTTACAAGCTGGCAAAAGAGATTTTCAGACATTCTGGTCAAGTGCTTTTTTTAAGTTGATCTTCAGAGGCGTGGGCTCTTTATAGTTTATACATTATTAAAAATTTATTCATTAAAAATTACCCTTGCAATTTTGGCAATTGACAGTCTTAATAAAAATATAAATTAAACTCAATTAGAGCTTCTTTTGGGTTGAAATAATTAATGATATAACTAATTACGATTACAGAATGTTCTTTCTTTTTACAGCACATTTTTTTCCTTTGTTCTTAAAATGAGATACATTTTTAGTAGTTCCCATACCAAGACTCCAAACCAGTCATCCCATTATTAGTGAAATAGATTATCATCTAAATGCCTTTGCCTTTATTGCATTCTGAAACTAACAAAAACTTTAATAATTTCATCAGAACAATTTCTTGGTGATCTCATCATTATCAGTGTTTCTAATCCTGGGAATTCTGTTTTAGAGGAGTAAATCAGATGAGATGCTAACACCTGTGACTGGGGACAGCCGCTTCCATCTAATTGTGGTAGAACAGTCTGTAGGAGGCAGCTAAAAACTCTTAGCCCAGTGCAGTGGTGCATGCCTGTAATCCCAGCTACTTGAGAGACTGAGGCAGGAGGATTGAAAGTTCAAGGCCAGCCTGGGCAATTGAGCAAATAAAAAGTGCTGCAGTTGTAGCTCAGTAGTAGAGTGCCCCTGGGTTTGGCCCGTGTACAAAAAAAAAAAAAAAAAAAGGCAAAATAAAAACCCCTTATTCTTCTTTAATAATTGTATGATTTAAAGGCCGGGGATTTAGGTCAGTGGTGCTTCTACCTGCCTGGCAAGTGCAAGGTCCTGAATTTGATCCCCAGTACCAAAAACAAATGAACAAAAAAACTTTATGAATAATTGTATGATTTAAGACCGGAAGACTTAACATGACTTGCCTCAGATAGGAGTCTTTACTACAGAGGAGTGGAGAAGGACTGTCATTAAGTGCTCAGAAGTCTGGAATCTGCAGCACTGATTAGTCAGCCACTACAGACAAGTAAAAATACCAGTCTTCTTTAAGCTTTACCTATTCAAGGTAATATTTTCAGTTGATTAAATCAGTTGAAACAAATCAGGTTTTACAGTGCTCGCTTCAGCAGCACGGATACTAAAAGAACAATATCGAGAAGACTAGCACGGTCCCTGTCAAGGAGGACCCGCAAATACATGACGTGTTCTGTCAGCCACTACAGACAAGTAAAAATACCAGTCTTCTTTAAGCTTTACCTATTCAAGGTAATATTTTCAGTTGATTAAATCAGTTGAAACAAATCAGGTTTTACAGTGCTCGCTTCAGCAGCACGGATACTAAAAGAACAATATCGAGAAGACTAGCACGGTCCCTGTCAAGGAGGACCCGCAAATACATGACGTGTTCTGTATTTTTGTAGCACTAGTGTTTCCCTGTACAGGTACAGGTTTTTTTTTTTTTTTTTGGAGGGGGCTCATTTAATAAAAGTAACAGAAAGCAGTACCTAGAAACTGTTTCAATAATTAAGTTTGAAGTATAATTTTATAATGAAATTTTACTGTATTCTTAAGGGTATATTGTGAGTAAACATTTATTTTAAAATAATTTTTTTCTAGGATAGGTAGTGAGAAAATTGTTTATCTACTTTGGTTTCTATAAATATCACTCATTTTAGTGATGCTAGTATGAATCCTTTAAGCTTCCAAAGATCAATGAGAAGTCACTTTAGAAGAGGCCTTCCTTGCTTGCTTTCTTGCAGGGATTTGTTCTTTGCATGTTAAGTTTCTGTTGCCTGTGGAAAGGCCACAGTCAAAGGCCTGAGAGCAGAGTGCTGTTCCTCAGATGCAGCTTATTAATCACATCAAGTACTTACTGTGTTGCTGTGAGGAGTATCCACAACGTCTCTTTCCAGTCTCTAGAGTTCCACCACTAAGTCTATTGATTTAACACATGTATTTAATTATTCACATTGAGAAATGATAATGTAACCATTTTGTGCTCATTTTGTGCCATTTAGTTGGTCATCCCAAATATTCCCTCCTGTTAATATGCCTTTAAATACATTTTTATTTTAGATTATGTTGTGTTTTACTTGGAGATCAGTTGAACCCATTTGGGTCATCATTGTTGATTTGAAGCATAAACATGATTAACCATTACATTTCTAACACTTCATATGTAGCTTTTTTCATCATAAAACAAGATTTGAAATTCAATTAGACATGAGGACTTCATTACAGACTAACCTTTCCATATTGCTTTAATGCAAACACATAAACTTTTTTTATTCACATAAACATTTTAAAAGCTACTGAGAACAAGTAGCTCCTATTCTGGTCAAACAGGTTTTCAACTCAGTCTAAATACGTGTTGAGTCATTTGTTGTAGAGAATGTATGAGGATAATAGGTCTTGCTTTCCTTATTTGTCTTTGGCATAATGTAGTTTCAAAAATTCTAAGTTTAAGGGCCGGGGATTTAACTCAGTGGTGCCACCACCTGCCTTACAAGCTCAAGGTCCCGAGTTTGATCCCCAGTACCAATAAATAAATAAATATTCTAAACTAAACAAAAAGCTTTTCCAATTATAGATTAACCTAATGTAATAATTTTTAATGAAATTAGAAAAATTTTATAATCTTGAGGTTCGTTTTGAAAGTAATTAAAAATATGCATTTGAATAAGTGAAGGTATTAAAAAAAGCACCCTTAATCATTAGCTCAGACTTTCTTTTCTCAAGCTAAATCCTTTCCAATTGTTTTTTGTTGATTTTTTTTTTTTTTTTTTTTGTACTGAGGATCGAACTCATGCCCTTGTGCTTGCAAGGCAGGCACCAGAACCAAGGCTAAATCCTAATGTTAATATTTTGCAATAGTAAACTACATTTTGCTTCAAAAATATTCAGCCATCATTAATATTTTTATATAGATATCCTCTGTGTTCTGGTACAGTTGATACAATGTCACATACAGTAGTTCGTGACATGGGCTCTGGAGTCAAACTAGGTCAGGTCCTCTTCTGCCACTTAATAATAACATTGTCACCTTGAGATACTTATTTAATTTCTCTAAATCTGAATTTTCTTATCTGTAAAGTGCAAATTAAAAATATCACCCACCAGCCGGGCATGATGGTGCACACCTGTAATCCCAGCACTCAGGAGGCTGAGGCAGGAGGATCACTGTTGAGTTCAAGACCAACCTGGGGCTACATAGTGAGTTCCAGGTTAGTCTCAACTACCTAGTGAGACTCTGTCTCAAAAAACGAGAAAAAAAAATCACCTACCTCATAAAGTTTTTTTGGTACCGGGGATTGAACTTGGGTCCTTGCACTTGCAAAGTAGGCCACCGAACCGCTGAGCTAAATCCCCAGCCCAAACTCATTTTTTTGTTGTTGTTATTTGTTTTATTTTGTTTTGTGGTTTAGGTTTTTCTTTTGGGGGGGTACTGGGGATTGAACTCGGGTCCTTGTGCTTGCAAGGCAGGCCACCAAACCACTGAGCTAAATTCCCGGTCCTTCATAAAGTTTTGATGAAGATTTAAATGGACAATAAAAGTATAAAGTGCCTAACACAGTGCTTGGCATAAAATATGCGAGATATAATTCTAAAATTCCTGACAGATCATTAGTGGCCCATGGTGTTCAAGTGATACCTATAAATGTTTGGTTTTTAAATTAATTTTAAAATTCTATATCTAAAAGATTTCATGGGAGGTAAGTTACCAGAATAGTTTAGATCAAAGGTATGGGCAGTGACACTTACTTTTTTTCCATATGGGAGAGAATGAAATTACTATATTGATTTAATGTTTCAAGATCTGTAGTTGAAATTGCTTTTACATTGAGTGACAGAGAGTCTTTTATAACCCATGTGGCTAAAACCAAGACTGTTGCTAAACCCAGGACTGTTCTTTTTAGCACTAATTTATTTGAGTGGCAAAAGACCAGAATTAAATTATTAGATCTTGGCAGCATATAGTCAGTAATGATGGAGCATAGATTTACTCAACTGGTGCTGATAGGAAGAATTTGTATAGGCATAAAGTGGTAGAATATATTAAAGTTGATTTTTGTCTTTCTAGAGTTTTAATCATACCTTATCAGATACCAAAAAAGAAAATAAATCACTTCAATGATGTTGTATCATTTCCTTGAAGTTGATACCATTCCAGAAGATTTTTTGAGTTTTTATTATTGCTGCAATTCAGTCATTTGCCACTGTTATTTTTTAAACATCTTCATTTGTTTCACTTTCTCTGAAGCCTTCTAGTTAAGGCAGTAGGAAAACATGTGCACTCTAGGTATTTGGAATTGTTCTCAGTGCTAAAGTGGTTAGACGTGGGACTGAAAAGAGAATTGCTTTCTGGCAAGAGTGAAGTTTACAATATCTTAAGCATTCACCTTCCTCAATTTGTTGCACAGTAATTTATGTTTACCTCAAATATAATATACTTTTGAAAAGCTTAGAAGAAAAACAAAATCAGAAGAAGAGAAAAATCAAATTTCTCTGAATTGAAAGCATTTCAAATCGCTTCTTGGCCTTTTGGCTTAGATCAAGTGTAGTAACATTTCAATTTTTATCTGACATATACTCAGTTTCTGCCCTTTTGCAAGTATGGAGTGGGAAAAAATAACATATTTTAGCTGTGCAGCATTGTCTGTTTTATTGGAAATAATGTGATTGTTTAAGATTGACATCTTACTAAAGCTTTGGCATCTATCTATGCAACAACTAGATAATGAATTGTGAGTATTGATTGCATGGGAAAATTGCTGAATTTTCTTTCTAACACTCCCTTTCCCTACCCTAACTCCAGCCTTAGGCCAAAATACTGTTTGTCATCTGGAAATATCCCCAGTTGCATTTTCTAGAAGAGGTGCATTATTGTCATTAATGTTTTTGAAGTACAACCTCAAATATTATTTGAGGGATCTGAAATGTATTTCAGCAACATAGAAAAATGTTAAAATAATAATGAATATTGAAATAATTCAAAGATTTCAGCTGCATAAAGAATGAAATTGGGCCCGGGGATTTAGCTCAGCGGTTCGGTGGCCTGCCTTGCAAGTGCAAGAACCCGAGTTCAATCCCTGGTACCAAAAAAAGAATGAAATTAATTAAAATGGTGACGCCATGTTCTTTAAATTTTTTATAGACAAGATATTTTGCATTTCTAGCTGATATATGAGCATATATTTTCCAGACATAGTCTTTTGTTTTCTGTTAAATAGAAAAAGTTAAACTTTTGAACCTGAAAAGTGGATCTAACTAGAAGTAATAAGATCACATTTTTGGTATAATTTTTCTCTTTGGCTTCATCTAGTTGAGTCGAAGAAGGCAAAATTATTGACCATATTTTGATCAGTTCTGCCAAATAATTAGTATTTGCTGTTTGAGCACACCAAGCACTAATGAGTTGGAATTGTGTCCGAAAATCGCACCCCCAGATCTCCCTCAGCACTTACAATGTCGCTGTAAGTTTCAATTTTACATGGTTGGTCAGAAACCAATGTGTGAGTGCTTCAGCACAAACAACATGTCGCTGTAAGTTTCAATTTTACATGGTTGGTCAGAAACCAATGTGTGAGTGCTTCAGCACAAAGCTATTCAGGGAAAAAAATTCAAGTTTTAGACTAACTGTGAAGTATAGCAACTGCACACATGTAGAGTAGGATTTGCTGTATAGAAAGCTCTTATCTAAAAAGTAAAAATATTCAGGATATGGTACAACTGAGACTGCTACCAAACCCTTACAAGGGTATTAATTTATCTACCTTTATTGAGATCAGTAATTTGAATATTAGTGATATTGGGTCTATTAGGTCTATAAGCTGTGTTTTTTGGTTTTTGTTTTGGTACCAGGGATTGAACTTGGGACCTTGCACTTGCAAGGCAGGTGGTGGCACCACTGAGTTTAATCCCCAGCCCTGTAAGCTGTGTTGTTCTTTTGTTTTTGTTTTTAATTTACACATGTGTCTTATTTATTTCACTTAAGAGTATGGCCTCATATGAAATATGATTTAAATTTTATTATCAAACTCGTATTTCCATATGTGCCACAGCTATTTGAGGATAACATGTATGATAAAATTAGATCTTTTTTTTGGTACTGGGGCTCAAACTTGGGTCCTCCTGTTTGCAAGGCAGGTGGTGCCCTAAATTAGATCTTTGATTGAAAAAAGAAAACAGCAAAGAGGCAACCATAGACACAGTTGATTTTCTGACGTCTCCCATTTCCTCCCAAATTTTAGCATGCTTGATGTTCCTCATAGCTTTAAATAATTTGAGATAAAATTTGATGGTTTTATGATAATTTTTGTATCTGTGATTAATATGTTGTGAATTTTGTAAGAATCTTCTGTGGAATTCAGAATAATCAAAAAACCCATTAGTAAATTTTTTGAATAGTGACTGTAT